GCAGGCTATGTCACCGATCACAAAAACTGATGAGAAGATTCTGACGACTCTTACCTACGTTGGACTGACCCTGTCCATAATCGGAATAATTCTTACAATAATTTCCTATGCTCTTTTCACGTAGGGGAATTTGTTTTATAGCATTCCTAACATATTACTCCGAATCCTTCCAAAAATAGACATTGCATTTCTTTTATCTACAGCGAAGTGCGTCAACCCCTCTCCCAAGTAAGGCTGAGTCTCGCTGCTTCTCTGGGAACTGGTCAGATTATTTTTCTGGCTGGTATTAATGCTAAAGGAGACGAGGTAAGCACTTCGTTTTAAGACCAACTAAAATCGCCACTGCATTATCCATTCCCTGCAAATGATTGCCTCAGCATGAAGAAAACAATACGGTTGCACAACGCGAGAAAGTTTTTTAAAATTATTATTTCATTTCTTTTTTTATTTGTATCATCGTTATAGATGTATATTATCTTGATGGTTGATCTTATTTGTTTCTGCACTTTGTCGTTAAAAGTTAGTTAGTTCCTAGAAACCCAGGTACTTCTCGATCCATAGGGTGTATGTGTTGCAGTAGCTGCCTTAATGCTTTACTTCCTTATGGCAGCTTTCTGTTGGATGCTGATCGAGGGAATTTTTCTCTACTTCTTCGTTGTGAAGGTGTACAATTTCGATGGAAGAACGGTTATCTATCACTTTTTTTCCTGGAGTGAGTTTTTTGAAGTTCCTTTCCACTATCAAACGAAAGTTTAATTTGAGTGATATCTTTTATTATGCATTTATGGTCAGCATCTCCCTGATAATTGCCTCAGCAAAAGATGGTATTCATAGCTTTGTCAGCGAGAAATAGTAAGCATTGAACTTCTGAAAATCTTTATTTCAACTACTCTAGGTGATTATTCATGACATAGAATACGTCGCCGGCTCAACGAAGCCGAGCATAGACTGAAGCTTTTATGACTAATGCTCAAATTTGTTACTTGCAAGCTGTTGGTTGTCCCAGGCTAACCATCTGATTTGGATTTTTGCTTCCTTTGTTTTGGCGGTGGAAATCGTAAGTAGCATTTTTATGAATATCAAAGGAATTTGTATTAAATATTTGTAGATATATTCAAAAACCTTGTATTCTTTAACCTTTTTTAACCGATACTAACAGGTGGAAACTAACCAATTAGCTCTCGTAAGTGGGCATTTCACATTCTTGCAAACTCCCCTGAATCTAACGATGAAGTCCGAACAAAAGGAAGAAACGTCGATGCCGATAACAGTCTCGTCATAGTTTTTAAGCTTATCAGTAACAAATGTCTACACATTCCTCAAAAAATGGCAAGGGGTCCAACTAAATGCTAACAAAGTAACGTAGTCCCTATTATTTATCTAGATTAATGTGTTAGTCCTGGCAAGAGTCATCAGAGAAATGATCAGAATGCAATCTACTGGGGAAAATCATCAGTTACGGTATGAGATGAAATTATCAGAAGGTTAAACAAGAATTAAGCAAACAGCCAAACGAAAAAAGAAGCAAACAAATTATATTTAGAATTTACGTTTTTCATCGATTTCTGATATGAATATTCTATTCACCTAGTTTTTAAAGAATTGAGTTGTTTTACGTTTATTCTGCAGACTTTGCATCAAGACATGCGCGATGATGACTCCCTTATTAGGCTTTACGTGGCTTTTTGGTCTCCTTTCCTCAGAAGACAAAATTTGCGCCTACATACATACGGTCTTAAGTTCGACTCGGGTAAACACAACCATCTCTATTTTCCATCAAGTAGGCGTTGAAAAGTGTTACCCTAGCAAAGGAAAAGCACAAAAAAATATATTTAAGATATCAACTGAAATTACAGCTCACGTTTACAAATTTTGCTTTACAGGGATTCCTGATGTTTCTTTTTCACTGTGTGCGAAACACTCAGGTAACTGACAATTTGGGCGTCAATGGATTTATCATTCTCAAAATAATTATTAGTATTATTATCATATATTATACTCATCATTGTCACATCTATTGTACCAACGCTTCTCTTTCCTAACTTAAACTCAGCCCCTCAGAACTAAGAGAAGACGACTGGCAACATATATTTTCTAGAGAAAAAAATGATGAAAACAAAAAAAAGTACATAAATTGAGGTAGTTCGTTTTTCTCTCTTCTTTTTTATTTTTATAATATATATATTTTTTTACTTTCGTAGATAAAAGAACGGTTAAAAAGGAAGTTTAATATCATTTTTCCAGCAACTGGCAAGAGAATATGCCAAGTTCATAAAAGGGACGCGGCAAAAGTAAGAATTGATGTTCAGCCTTTCGATACCGCCTCTACTGAAGAACCAATATAATTTTTTCACCGACTTTTGTAATGTGTTATGAAACAGTCGTTTATAGAATTAGAGATGTTTTAAGATTGATAGCTCGATACTCTTTAAAGGGGCCAGACTCAACCAATGCGTTTTGAGCGGCTTTGTGAATGTTATTATCCGGAGACTTGATACTCGATTTTTTTTTCTTCACAAACTCACGGAAAGGCATAAAGTTTAACCACAGCGGTAGTTTTTGCCGATATGTATATATATATATAATTTTTTTTTTTAATTGCAAAAATAGAAAAAGGGTGATAACACTCACCCCTACTTAGAAAGAGGTATGATAACGACTTTTTTCGTCTGTGGAACAGAACCAAAGACAAAGTAGTAAAATTTTTAATGCGAGTAAACAGCTACATTCTGTACATTGTACCACGATACGAACATTATCCACGCTTGAAATATCAGAATCAGAATTTATATTCTTGGACGCAAAAGTGCACGGAAGCAGGATGTTTATCAGGGAATCGACAGTTGACTTCTAACGCATCACAGAGAGACGAAGATCTTTCAATACTTAAATGTTTATTCGTATCATACCTCAGGTGCAAAGAAAGGATTCGTTGAAAGAGAAGTGTGACGTCTCTCTATGATTAATAATAGACAATTAAAGACACTTTTTGAGGTTTAAAAGAGCCGGTTCTTGATCACGAATGCAAAGGCTCAGGCGAATAATACAGAAAATGCTGAAGATGGCCTCAACCCCTGCAATGCATCCTGGTTGAGCTTGGCCCTTTAACATTGCTCATTTCATCATGTGTTCTCTTAATTCCGGATCCTCGCCATCTGGATTGATTTACTCTACAAGGGAATAGAAACGGAAGTTTAGCATTTTATGTGCTTGGTGGGTTACCCCATTTGGTTTTAAAATATGTATTCTTAAACGCTCTTTTTGCACTAGACTTCTAAAAACCCTTGAGCCAAAAAACATATTAGGAAATCATCATAAAATGGATCCTAGAATGGGCACGTAAAATAATGCTGTATTGCAATTTTGGATATTGATATAGGTACAGGAATTGTAACTTTGATCTGGAGTGAGGCCAATAAAAGCGAAAATCGGTCTGATAAACTATTGCACTAATAGCGGAACTCGTTGTTCGACCGTCTCGCGCGCGTCTTACGTATCTCATCTTTACTTTTATCAGTTGATTGCCGCAAAAGTTGATAGACAATAATATGATATGAATATGAAAGCGATCCTCGCAGTAATATTACCAAAACTACCGAGAGTCAGTAAAGAATGTTCAACTAAACTGCAAGCTGCTATTTTGCTGGACATCTACTTCGTTTAAGGTGGAAACAAAATCCTTAGCCTACCATAAAGAAAACTGATGTTAAGCACGTGACCTTAATATTATAACACAGTTTGTTTCCTTTTGCGGAAATGACTTAAATTATGCCCTCACAATACATAATGAAGTTAAGCACATGATCTTAATTTAATAACAGTTTGTTTCCTTTTGTGGAAATGCTCTCTTGATACCGCTTGTTACGAGTGTCGATGTAGAGCAGGGTTGTTCCTAGACAAAACTCAGGATCGTCGGTAACAACAACAAATTGTTTTATTTCCACGTAGTTGACTTCTTGTTTTTATAGCCCTAAGCTTCTTCACAAATCTCTCTCTCTGTTCGATGGAACTGTCGCTCTTATATACATAAAGTATAAGGATCTAGAAACTTCTCTAAAGAACTAAATTTAGTAGATTAACAGGGTATATAAATATAACGTTCCAGAATGTTCTTTTTATCAGAAGATCACGTCTAGATGACTTCGGGTTCTAGAATGTTCTATTAGAATGTTCTGGGACTTTACTTAGACAATTTTTCGTAACACCGCTCGTAAAAGGTTAATTCATATTAATATTAGTTTATTAAACATTATTTTAGCAGTACAAGTCTGATTTTTTTTAGGACTTATTTTCACTACTGCTCAAGAAGTGTCCATTACTGCGAAGATCACTTTCATATCCACGTCTTTGACCGCAGTTCACATATATGATTTTTATATATTCACAGTCAATTAATAGTTTGACAATAATATATGACAGCAATGATATGGTAAAGCCAAACATGTTCATCAACGAAGGCTTCCTTTTTTTTTTTTTAATTATTGTACTAGATGTTTTTCTTCATCCAATTCTTATGTCCAAGCAATTTATTTTCGGTTTATAAAATAAGGAAAACTTACAACCTCTTTTTTTAAATCAGTCTAGGAATTATATTTGATATAGATTCACAATGTGACCTTGCAATTTTTGTTCCTGATTGTCTTATTATACTGCATACTAGAATCCCTGGTTTATTTGAAAAAAAAAACGAAAAAAGTAAAAAAACAAAAAACAAAACACAAAAAAATCAGTTTAAAGGAGATCTACTTGCTAAACTCAAAAGACAAAAGCGGTTTATTAAAGACAAATTCTTTTTTTCAATCTCTTCTTTAATTTTTGTCAGTTCCTTTACCTAATGGCATGATGTCAATTGACATTGAAGTTTCGTGAATATTAATTTAATACAGTTCCTACATTTTCCGCCTTCGGCGACATATTCCGAGCATGTCTTTTTCCACGCGTTCAAAATAGCATTTGAATTTTGTTATATAAATGTTAAAGAGGCTCAAAAAAAGGAAAACAAAAACAAAAAAGTAGCGATCTCGGGGAATCATTAAAAGCAAAGAAACCAGCGACGTCGCCGATATATAAACAAATAACCATTGAAGCGGTAAGGGATTTAACAATTATGAAAACTGATGTCAGAAAATCGATGGGAGCCATTATGTTTCTCGTCACACTAGGTAAGTGTTAAGCGTGATTATACGTTGTAAGTGTTATAAATTCTATCACTTCATGCCTAGAGTGAATGCTACGACCTGGGTTTGAGCAAAATTTTTTTTTTTCGAGCTTGCTAAGCTGCGTTGATGCGAGCGAAACATTAACGGTTTTCGTCTTTCTTTAAATCATTTTGAACCAAAGTTAGGATGTAGGCATTGAGTATGAAATGACGCATTTTTTCTTCTTTCCGTTATTTTTCACGAAATATTTCGTAAATTTCTCTGTATGTCTGAGACCAACGACCTATTTCACTTCGAGGAGCAAAATAAACGACCACCTGGTTTCGAAAGTGCTCAGTTTTTGAGCAATCTAGTCACACTATAACTCAGAGAGGAAAAAAACAAACGCAGAAGATAATTTTTACAGATATTTCAATTTTTAGTGGAAAAATGTTGATCGGGATATTTTCTTTTCGTTTCTGAGATGAAAAAAAAAAAAAGACGTCATGGCTTAGAAGCTACTTCGATGGATAATTTAAATTCACTTTTAAAAAGTAAACATAGGACTCCTGCATCGAAAGCTTTACCGTCAATTAAATATTTCTGTCATTTAGCCAGAAAAGATTTGTTTTCAATTTTGCATCCACCTGGGAAAAGAAAGCCGTATTTTCAACTGATAACTCGGTTTAACACTATTCCACAAGTTCTGAATAATTCTATATTTGAAAAACACTCCATAGGAAAAAAAAATTATAATATCGATTTTGTTTTTCTTTATATAAGGGCTGCTAAAGGAGTTTTAATGAAGGAGTGTAGACCACAGGGGAACTTCTTCTCCCCACGAGGTTTTTGCATTCAGTTAACTGCTGCCAAACTTTGCAGCTACTGTAATATCCAAGACTAAAAAAAAACAATAACGACAACAGCAACAACAAAACAAAAGCAACAATTTTCTGTCTCCAAAGACTAAAGTAAGAGGAAAGTCAATTTTATATCATTAATTTCGCGCAAATTCATTTGGAAAATCTCCAGCTCATTATTACCGTTTAATACCGCAGTTTTAATGGTGAGATGATCATGATTATTTAGTTAAGGAATCGCTTTCTAACAGCTGACGAAATTGACCCGCCATTCTTCTACCAGGAGCATATTTCCATATGCAGCAAAACGGAGTTTTAAAATCCGGCTGAATGTTATTTATTTACGGTTAAACCATTTGCTTCTCACGTTGAGGAATCTTTGCTAAAGGAAAAAGTAACCCGAAGAAAATACTTATTTTTGGTACCGAAGGATTCCAAACAAGTAATCAGCAAGTCTAATATTAGATCAAAATACGTTGGAAATGATTTTTTTAATCAGTTTTTATCTGTTAACTTTATCTCACTTTTTTATTGCAGTAATCGTCATAAGAGCTACGAATGTAAAAAGCATGACATGTGACTACGAAGAAAAAAACAGATGCACCCAGAATTGTGTTCAAAAAGATGAATGCAGTCAAGTATGCCACAAAAGCACCTGCTTCCAGAGCTGCAACTCTGCAAAGTTTTGCAATTTGACATGCAGTGGACAGACATGTCAACAGAATTGCAATTCTGGCGCTTGTAATCTAATTTGCAGTGGGCGAAGTTGTACACAGTTTTGCAATGCTCAGAGTTCATGCCGTCTTACTTGCAATGGAACAAGCTGCAGGCAAATATGCAACGCAAAAGAGTGCCAAATTAAATGTTTGAGTAAAGGGGGATGCAATGCCAGTTGTAGTTCTAGTTGTATCCTATATCAGCCTACTACACAGGCGGCGAAAACCGAGGCCTCTTCAACTGATGGATCTACCAAAAAGGCTGTAGCAACTGATGTCACTACTCCTCAAGGAGAATTTATCCAAGGTTCTACAACTTCTCATATTCTAGTTAAGACCACAGAGAGTAAGTAACGTAGCTCACCTATTTCTGCATGCCTATTGATATTCTATGGCTGCTGTCTAAGGGTAGCCTCTAAATGAATTTAAACTATTTGCTTCTGCTGGCATTTTATAAACAGGTTTTGATAAGTCATCAGATTCACCCACGGCAGTTACACCAGAGGCACCAAAGATCAGCTCTAAGACAGAAAAATTGGTACACACTTCATTATTAAATTATTTATTAATTGTTTTTGTCTTTTAATTTTTTTCCTTTTTTATGCCTTTTTTAATTTCATTTTTGTCGTTTTTGATATTTATTGGTTTAAACCTATACATAAATCTTATTTGGAAGCTGTAGGATTAAAAATGTTTCATCTGTAGAAAACTCTATTTTCCCTTTGGGTCTAAAAGACTTAGCCCTGTAGATAAATATCTAAATTCGACGGCGCGTATAATAAATAAACTAATAGTAATATAAATTAACCTTTTACGAGCTGTATCAAGAGAGCATTTCCACAAAAGGAAACAAACTGTTATTAAATTAAGATCATGGGCTTAACTTCAGTATGTATTGTGAGAGCATAATTTCAGTCATTTCCGCAAAAGGAAATAAAGGTGTTATTAGATTAAGATCACGTGCTTAACATCAGTTTTCTTCATGGTAGGCTAAGGATTTTGTTTCTACCTTAAACAAAGTAGATGTCCAGCAAAATAGCAGCTTGAAGGTTAGTTGAATATTCTTTACTGACTCTCTCAGTAGTTTTGGAAGACAAATAAAAATAAAAGAGTGACCGTTTCAACACCCATTCATCTATCTGTGAATCCGCCACCGATTCTTTCCTTAATTTATTCATTCCCTTGCTTCCATTCTCACTGTTAGGAGGCAGTCAATTTGTTCCAAGACACTATCGAAGAGTATAGGAGAATTCACAACCTTGAAACGCAAGTGAATTTAAAAAAAAGGGAGGAGCGTGTGAAATCGATATCTGAAACTGCAAAGGCTTTTGAGGATTTTGTTCTCAAGTATGCGCAACATCATCTCAGTGAATCAATGCCACAAATCTACAGGGTTTACGAAACACTAGGTATGTTAACCTTAGATGTATCTTTGTTTGTCTAATCTAGGTAACATTTCATGAACACAATCTAATTTTTTTATTATTTTGTGAATAGTTCTGCTTCTCCAGAGAGCTTCACACGGAAATAATCAAGATTTCTACCTCGTGGAACCACAAAAAGTCGAATATATTAGAATACCTTCAAGAATCGTTGGAAGAAACGGTTGGTCTCAATTTTGTTTCCCAGTCTCTAATTCCATGGCATTTGTATGGCAACTGCTTTGTTTCCAAAACACAAGCCACAGTTGCTGCACTAATGTTTCATCTCCACCTTTCCCTTTATTTGTAAAAACCGTCAACGTTTACATCAATAACTAGGCACGCTTACCGAAAAAAAGGATCTTTGTTTTTCGATCGTACTTCATTAGAAACATATATAACAGATAGTTATGGATTTGCGGTCACTTTCGTCTACTTAATAATCGTTAACTTTTGTTTCACTGGAATTAGTAAGTTTAAAAAATTAAAGATAAATACTGAACCGAGTTTTTCCTTTTTCTTCTAACTAAGGTTCATTGCTGGTGGGTATCATATACACAGATCTACATGCGCTCTTCAAACCAACTCGAATCGACAACAATACAAGGTACGATAATTGAACCATTTGATGCAAATATGAACTCCAAATGAGTCATTTCACAGTAAATTTACCCTCACAATTACTTCGCACTTAGGAGCCTTAATTCAAAACTAATAGCAGCGACGATGGATCCAATGCCGAAACAATTGGAACAGAATGTCATCATGAGATTCAGAAATATCAAGGTTTTTTTTTTTAACTGTATTTTATTGTTATTTTTCAATCAATAATGGTTTTATATACGCATATAAAACATTCTCTTTTCACTTCCATATGCTATCTTTTTCAGGCTACTGATACTAAAAGGCAGTGTGTGTTTTGGAATGAATTTAATGAAGAGAGGTAACAGTCCAAATGAAGTTTTAACTCTTTCCTTTATAAACTTAAAATTTATCAAACCTGCTGAAAGTAAATTTTTAACCCTAACTCTCATTGGCTGACCATCCTAGAGCGGAACAGAACAGGTTCGTTCTATCGAATATTTAGCTCTTCTTCTGTTAATCAGCATTGATCATTCACCATACCTTTTTCAGTCCAGACGGCTGGTCTGGGGAGGGCTGCCATGTGGTAACGTCAGAGAGCAATTCAGAAGAAACAGAGTGTAGTTGTAATCATTTGACTCACTTCGCGGTTTTATTCGAGTACGATGGTACTCAAACGGTAATGATAATGTGAAAACATATTAACTTGTTTTTTGTTTGTTTGTTTGTTTGTTTGTTGCTATGTTTTCGATCTCATAATTTCATAATTTAATTAACGAAACACTCGGCTACATCTGTAACAAAGGCAAAGAACACCAGTAATGACGCATACTTTCAAAATGTTTGGACATCTTTTCAAGTCATAACACTAAGAGAATGATGTTTATCTGATAACTACTTTGAAACAAGCTCTGCTTTGCAAAATTAAGAACTAAACGAACTTAATCTTTCAGTGATCGAGTTCAAAGAGAGAGCGTCTCTCGTGTCTACTACGTTCATGCAACTTTTAAATAGTACTTTTTTCTTTTCTTTCATTATAATTTTTTTATTTGTTATTGCTGTTTTTTGGTTTGTTTTTTCGTATTCTATTCACATGCAAAGCAGATAACAGGAACACATCAAAAAACATTGAACATCCTTACGTACATGGGCTTAGCTCTCTCCCTCATTGGAATAACAATTACTGTGTTCTCCTACATTTTCCTAAGGTAAGTCAAAATACAGACAAGTGTAACACCACTTAAATTAGGGGCTGTTTTTCAATGTTTCCTAATAATTATTTAGGTGATAACTTATTCCGTCGTTGAGCGCTTTTTCTTGTTACAGTGATATGCACCAACCTCTCTCTCAAATAAGAGTGAGTCTGACTGGATCTCTTGGAGCTGGGCAAGTCATTTTTCTTGCTGGAATTAACAAATCAACAATCACGGTTTGTGCTCTTTTATACTTAACTAACCAAGCATTTACTTACCCATTATAATTTTTTGGAAAAAAAAAATGATCTTTTGTTTTACGATGCTAAATATGAGAACATTGATGAAAAGAATTCGTAAGATCTGTTTGCTAAAGACGACAATGCGCTATTTATGCGGTGCAAGACTTTTTTTTTAGAAATAATATGGCTGATGGACTCATGTCTCATCTCCTCTTTCGTTCACTTCTTTACATTCTATCATTGTTTTCATCATGATCATCATCCAGTTGTTGTTTGGCCACAATTCTAGATATTCTGCTACTTATACAATGGACGGCCTTGTCAAATTTAGCGGGCTGAAACCACGAATGCTTCAAAATCGGCACAACTGTGTAACCACGCAGCAATTTCATAATGCAACCATTTTCATATTTGCTAGTCCTGATGTCATCTATTACATGAGATCAAGAAATTACTCATCATGGTTCCCTGACCTGCAGTTCTATAACAAAATATAGCGAAGCACTTTCACGACTCTCCTAACGGGTGGCAAGCATTCGGCGGGCACTCACTTTCAATCATGATTTTCTCATAATCAGGACTTCCTGAATTACTCGATATAGTGACAAACACGGATGTTTATTGCCATTGCAGCACAAAGCTCTTAACTGCGTTTTTGTATCGGCAATTCTTTAGGCTACCTGTGTCGCTGTGGCGGCTCTGATGCAATACTTTTTTACGGCCGCTTTTTGTTGGATGATGGTGGAGGGAATTTACCTTTACTTGTTTATTGTGAAAGTTTACAACATTAAAAACCGGATGGCTATCTATCATGCTTTTTCATGGGGTAAGTTTCAGTAGCAATACTCACATCTCTGTGTTCAGTGTCTGCAGTTGTATCTTGTCACAACTCCGAGTTACTTATTGTTTTTCTCTTGCAGTTTTTCCTGCAGTAATGGTCATTATTTCTTTGAGTATCGCTGCAGGAAAAGACGGAATCAAGAGCTTTGTCGACGATGAACAGTTAATGAGAAATCTTTATAGATATAAAAAAACCCTGAAATTCCTTTGCCATTTTCTCTCCAATTGTGGTTTTTTATAAGACATTTTCATTTTTTTAATAGCTGCTGGATGTCTTCTGCAAACAATCTTATTTGGATTTTTGTTGCGTTTGTGATAATAGTTGAAGTGGTAAGTAAAACCATACTTGATAAGGAGTGTTCTCTACTACAATCAATGGACTACAATTTATCATCGTTGTTTTTCTACTGAGCACTATTTACTATGGGCTGTCATTCTGCATGTTTGTGTCCTAGTGTTTGCTTGTGTTCCTCTTTCTACCTATCTGTATCCCACCAATTCGTTCGTTGTCAGTCATTGAGATGTTTTCATTTTAAGCTGAACATACTGATTCTTGTGCGAGTCATCAGAGAAATGACCAAAATGCAGCAAAAAAGGGGAACTATTCAACACGTACGGTGAGCAACGTTGTTAATTAAGAATAATGTATGTAGATAGGAATTAGAGAGATGGTAAGTTTTGAGCTCGGTAAAGAAATAAAGAAAGATGTTTTTCGTTCTGTCACTCCACGGTAAGCGAGGTCTATCAAAATCAAATTTCTATTAAAACATCTTTCTTTAAGAATAATGTAGTATGCGATTTTGAATTCACTTATTAAACCAGGTAATGTCTACTCTCGAGCATAGTGGCTCACACGGCCGAGATTTTAAAGGGATTTTGTAGTATTAAGTAAATTGCAACTTTCCTTGAGTCAACTTTCCATCTCAAGTAAGCTCTTAGCGTTTTCTCAGTTTTCTCTGACAGTTTGTCAATACCCAGTTATGCTCTTGGTTGGAGACAGCCACTTTGGAAGTTAACAAAACAAATCACACAGCTAAGGCTAAATGTGAAGAAACTACGTATCTAGCTAAACACAGCGACCGGTTAATAAAATTGATCTAGTTAAACAAGCTTTCTTATAGGCTCATTTCATATTTCCTTCCTACTTTCAGACTTGGGATAAGGACATGTGTTATTTTGCTTCCTCTTCTGGGATTCACTTGGTTGTTTGGCCTTTTGTCACCAGTGCATAGAGCATTCACCTACATTTTTATCATCCTTAACTCTACTCAGGTTTGAAACCATTGTGTAGCTATGTTTGTTTATGTTACATTTTTAAATTTTTGCAATTCATATTTTCTTGAAGCTTGTAAAGTTGGCACAATTCAGACCAAGAAGATCTCGTGTATTGCTCATACTTGTTTCTCTGACATGATTAACGAATATCGTTATGTGTATTAAACGCTCATATGGTAGAGACAATCATCCATTTGTTATTATTTTTGTTTGTTTGTTTTTTTCTGTTTTGTTATGTTTTGTTGTTGTTGTTATTTTTTTTATTGTTTGTTTTTTTCCTAATGTCTCCGTGGCATTTAGCCATCACCCACCCCTGGCAAGAGAGAGAAAGTGTTAGGGACAATGGCTAGGGTTGGGCTTGAGCAAAACTTTCGCTATTTACTAAAATTGTGCTTGTTAGTTTCTCAACCTTTTGATTCCTTGCGGGTAATAATAAATGTTTTTTAAGTATATCCCGAAGAGCACGATCACATAAAAAATTTCAGCTTTTGATCGGTGCGTTATATTCCCAAATGATGACGTATAATTTAAGGTTCGTTCTTCTTTATTAGGGTTTCTTGATTTTTCTTCTTCATTGCGTTAGGAACAGTCAGGTGAGATTTTCCAAGAAATGATGCAATATTTCTCTAATCCACGTCATCAAGATAATTATCTAAACAAGATAGTCTTAGTGTATAATGTATTAAGGTCGTGTATTTGACCGAAAAAAACTAAGGTAGCAAAAAAAATGTATCTGCACTGCGTTGGGAACAGTCAAGTGAGATTTTCCAAGAAAGGATGCAATATTTCCCTATACATGAATCCACGAAATGAAAAACTAAGCTACCAAAAAAAATATCTCTTATGGTAGCTGAGTAAGTATATTACTACTGCCTTCTGTATACGAGTATGTCCATATCCCGCTTCGCGTTCGTCCGGATCCGATTTTGTTGATAACTCGTATGATTACAGACCGAATTTAACTGCTCTTGGTTTTGTTATCATCATTAATCTATCAACTTAATTATCATTATGAATAAAGGGGTAAGTTTCTAAAGAAATTGTGGTGCTGCGTCGGTGGGAGAGTGTAGCAAACTCGAAACGTCAGCTTTTTTACCCTTTACAGTGGCTAATTTGCGTTTTCAACTCAGTTTTTAAGACTAAATTACCTGCTAATTATCATTATGATGCGATGTATTAATGGTACCTCTCGTAAACTTCATTCTTGAACACTACATGCATGAACAGGGTTATCTGCCAAGGGAATTTATTATAATCAATTATTTGCTTGATTTTTCTATTTTTCTTCACCTGCAGATTCGAGATCGACTGCAACAAAGAATTGGCATGATTTTCCCTGCCACGGAAGACAGAAACCAGCCAAAAGTGATGCCGATGGAGTAAAACAAAAAGAAAACAAAAATTCAAATGCAGCCAACTAGTTTATTCCAGATTCAAAATCAACAAGCGCCAAGCCATAGAGCCTAATGGAATGGCACAGTCTAAGAGATAGAGTTTACAAGTTTGTTAGTCAGCTCGTCGCGGGAATAGTAATTAGCTATTATGATTCTTCACGTAAAACAAGAAACACTAAAAAACGTGCGTCATGCGTCATGCGTGCTGAGTCTATCGTGAGGTGTGTGGCGTATCATATGCGTAAAACGTGAGTCTCGAGCCGTGTGTTTCGCTCTCTGAATAAAGGATTATCACATTGCGTAGATTGATAGAATAAATGCACCTCACTTCTTGATGCAATTTATTTTCACTTCCTAAGTGAAAAAAGGCAAAAAAAAAAAAAAACAGTAATAATAAATAAAGACCTGGCCTGAGAGCTAAAGGCAAGAAACAGAATGAATATCCTGCATGTTTGGGTGTTTGTTTTTCTTTTCTTTTTTCACTTTCTCGAGAGTATGGCATCACTCTCTGCTTTACATACCTAAAGTGTACTTCCTTTTTTATTCGATCATAATTAGATTAATACAAAACATTATGGGTTAACGGGGCTCGGTCCAAAGGCCAATGAGCGAGAATAATTTTAGCACGGCTGATATGCATCAGGCACCTGTTGTCCGAAGGTCGGATAACACTATCCGCTAAATAAATCTCTTTCCGGTGGATAATGCCATAAGTTTTGCGATCACTTATCCGCTTGATAGCGACTAATCCTTTGGATAGTGTTATCCAACTTTTATACAACCGGGCCCAGGATGATAACAATGCTATCGGGCGAGGGGCAATCGCCCAATGGAGTCTCCATTGGGGTGGCTGATAACACTTAAGTAAGAAGTTTGAATAAGCCATGCACTTATGATTTGACAGTGTAAAAAAACCTGGGTTTTCTTTAATCCAAAATAATTATCATTTGATTTTGGTCTGATTTTTGTGGTAGATTTAAAATTGTGTACAAGGTCAGAAGTAGTTCAAAAGAGCTAAATTCCATTCATCTAAATATTAACAAAAAACTACTTTAATTTAACTGATAAGGTTTTCTTTGATCTTACTAAATTATTTACAGACTTCTGAAGCTGTAGTTATTGATTTTGCTTATGGATTCTGTTGACGTCTCGAAGCACTTAAATCAACTCCTGTAAATATTACCGCATCTTTATGAATTGCCTTTATTAATTTTTCTCTTCTTATTTAACACCTGATGAGCGAAACCTTCGTCTGCTTCTAGGAGCACCATAAATAGATACTGAGTGGCTGATTTTTAAACTCGTGTAATAAAGAAAAAAAAAAGAAAAAAAATTCTCTCATCAGACTAAATATAAAACTACGTTGTAATTTGAACCAAATTTCCACCGCTCTAAGATTTTTCTCCGTAGGGTGAAAACTTCAATAAAAATCAACCGATCAAAAGCTACGTGATCCAAGAGTCGCTGCTTGCATACCAAATGAAAGCCAATTTAGATGTAAACATAATACTGAAGATTTACCTCCGGATAAAACCGCATAAATGCAATTAATCTGGAAAATGTGATGAGCATTTAGCATTTATTTATCAGCATTGTGGAAACAAAAAGTAAATAATCGGCTAATTGTGAATAATTGCTGGCTGAATATGTCGAGTTTCCAAGGACGAATACACGGAATCAATACAACAATACAGTCGCGTAATGATTGAGTGAAAACAAATGAAAATCAGCCGCCATAAGGTATTCATCCAACCCGGTAACGACGCGAAATGATTCTTGAACGCCACGATTTTCGAATTCTGTGTAGAAAGAACCAAGACATATAAAACGATTGGACCTTTCCTCTACAACAAAGCTAATAATCTTAAATATACTGGTTACAGGGAAAGCTTGATAGCTGCCGCTTACGGCAAAATGATTCCTTTCTATACAATAGCTCAAGAAGCCTTTTTGCTTCAACTAATTTTGATTTGGTAAAGATTTTGCTTTTTTTAATCATTATTTCTTTAAAAATTTTCATAGCACATGAGGTAATAAAAATACAATGTAGTCCTCTATTATTCATTTGGATTAGAATGGTCGTAATTTTTTTTTTCACCATTCCACATCATGAGAGTTTCTAACTGACCGTGTAAAAAGTTTATTGTCGCATAAATCGTCTGATAAATTCTGCAAAACTAACGTAAAACGCTTAGACGAATATAAAGCCAATTTCGACTACGTTTAAATTATGGTATATGCCATTCTTTTCATTATCAAATATGCATTATGCCCCTTATATTACCCATATTTTTTTTTTCATTATGATAGGGTAATGTTTCCGTTTAGTACTCAGCCAATACTGAACTTTCAGGTCAGTTGGAATTGATGGACTGCTCTATCTTGGTGATTTTAGGAGATAAAATTATTTACCTCAAGGCGAAGGTTTAATTAAAAATTAAAATAGCTGTTTAAACTAACTTATTCAAAAAAAAAAAAAATGGAACAAATTTGAACCAGTTTGGCCTCCTTCAGCATGAAAGGAGGTGGGCGTTTAAAGAACTGACAAGTCATATAACTACCATTATTAATACCAATTTAAAACGTGCTTTCTAATACACCTTAATATTGGTTTTCTTCCATCGCTTTATCATGCTTATATCTCCTATTCAACCTAATTATTTTTCTTGCACCAGGAAAAATGCGTTAATTATAACAGATCCAAACGGAAACGAATACTCCACTGATAATATGAAAAGGTTAACAAAATATGTTTCTGTGACTGCAGTTTGAGGAAATAAGACCACAGTCACTTAAGCATACCAAATTATTTACCTCAAGAAGTAACCGTGAAGGGAATCGATATTGACTGTGACGAAAAACATGTCAGAGTGACAGGTAGCACTGAAAATAAAATCAGCCGTGGCCCAATATTCAGTTCAAATCGTTTGTTTGCTTAAAATTCCACCTGTTCTTTTCCACTTGAGCAATGCCTCAACGACTCGAGTGCAACACTGCCGTGTTATTAAAAAGAATGGTTTACTTTTGTCATGTTTTGCCGCTGTTGTGTTTCCTTTCTTTTGTAGTTATTTGGAATGTTCAGAATACAGCTCAAGGTAAGTCATTTTTAGTGACAGACGATATGAAAGAAGAGAAAAATGACCAATACTGGGAAATGTATTTGCTTTCTATTTCGTGCTTTGAAAGACATTTTGAATACGTTTTAGTTCTCTGTCAACCGAGTCTAAGCCAGGAGCAGGATAAAATTAGCTTTTTTGTACAACTTAGCATTCATTTTGCATGAATTTAGTTTATTAAAAAAAGATCCATTTGGCAATGTATCTTCTTTGCGAATGCCATTTTTTTTTTCGTTCAAGAGGCGAGGAAGACCGAACGCTTCTAAATTTAAAGAAGTATTGATATTGTTCACGGATTTGAAATTGAAATAAACTGAATACTTGGCCGGGAAGCAAAGCTTCAAGAGAAATGGTGAAATTTGGAGGGCAATCTCTCAGCTGAGGAAAGTAACAGCCGACCTACTGGCAAGGAAAAAAGGGATTTATTTATTTAATAAAATTAATTCTCATATCGCGCAAAAGCTGCTTGTTAAAAAGCCAGTGTTGCTTACCGGCGACCAGCTTTTTGATAACGTTATCATTAGACTCTACATATCAAATTGGTTTTTCTTCCATGTAAATAGTAGAAATGTAAAGATATTTTTTTCCTCCTGGCTTTGTTTCGACGCAAATAATCGTAGGACAAATGTCGACCTACGCGTGGTTATTCGTGACGTAAGGTGGCCGACGAAATCACGAGGAAATTAATGGTGGATTAAAATGCGTCAAAATCGTGAAATATTGAAAAAAAAAAGAAAAAAAACACCCGAGACTTAAAAATCTAAAAATGATTTTGACAGTTTTAGTTAGAATAGCATCTAGACTATTTTACTCCTGTAATTTAAATATTGCCTGCTGTGAGCTTCTTTGTTCTTTCTTCTTCTTCTTTAATACTCAGAACAGATTCCGTGTCGAGTAGTCTGGTTTCGACACCTTGTCTTGTGTTCGTTAGTAGGGCGCGTTACTTTCACAGTGTGTCTCTCCCCCTAAGGGTATAAATGGTTACTGGAAAATTGCCAGGGAAGATTGATGAGATTCGGGGGGTTACCTTGCGATGGACTAGCATCTCATCCAGGGGAGGGAAAGGCTTTTTCGAAGTCCCTTTGTTAAAATGTAGTCTGCCTCCTAAGATTATATCACTGGGTGTGTATTATTTGGACTGAGGGGTCCTTTTTTATTTTTTTCCTTTGAAACAGGAAAATATTGTTATTCTTATGAATCGCTTAACATCCCAGAGCTAAAGAAAGGTAACTGCCAGCAAATCAAGAACGCCACTTCTCAACATTGGTTAAAAGCTGACTGTAAAATAAGAAGTTCTCGGGAATACCAGAAACGTGACTTTACTCAGTGTTTACAGTTGTGGTGTGATTATTTTTCAATATGCCTTCATCAAACAACCGAGTGGAAAAACTATTGCTCCTTAAAGTTTTATAGACTCCGTTCATCTTTCTTCGATATAAGTACAGGGGAAGGAGTGAATGACGTCTCTCACTTCAAACACGTTTACGTCAAGTATTGCGGTATACCAAAATACGGAAGAAACTACTTTTTGAAGACATTCGCCATCAGGATTACCTCCATAGAATGCCAATCGAGAAAAACAGGAAAAGGTTTGTGCCTGACTTGTTTATTATTTGAATTTATGTGTATATATCATTGATTCATGTTTAAAATCTTATAAAATTATTAAAAAAACATTTTATTCGGATATTTAGTGCCCCCATGTTTGAACACCGCGTTATGGAAACAGAGTTCCAATACCTGCAATTACCTGAAAAATGGAACAAACAACATCTGGTACACAGTTGGTTTGGGTTATCATTCTTCACTGAGATGGTGCGATGCATTTCGGAACTGTTATGGGTCTAACGATCTCAGAAATCGGTGCCGTCGTGATTTTGACTTTTACTTTCGATTTCCACCAACTTTTACAGTAGAAATACTCAGTTATTTACCTCACACACGGATCCAGGTCAATTACGTTTGTAGCGGTCGTTACATCTTTGCTGTTAATGTGATTCGGTGCAACTCTGAATCAAAACTAAATGGTATGTTTGGGATCAATGTCAGTATCTAAGCAAATTCGCACGTACTCCACCCTTAACCCAATTTTAATCTTAACTTGTTATCAGTTGACTGTTTTGGGTAATGGGAGGGGTAGGTGCGCAGTTGCTGAGACATTGACATAGATCATATTTCCCCTGTATATTGTGGCCATATTTCCCATGTTTAAAAAGTAGTCACGCATCTCTGCTGTGATTTTGTGTTTGTGATTAATTTAAAACATGCGTGCAAACTTAAGGAGATTGCAAAACATCAGCATTAGAGGAGGTGAGATGTCTGAGAATAGAAATACTTTAGCGGGTAGATAGAAATTTTTTTCATCTGCAGACAGAGTTCCTTAAACATCTGATTAAGGAAAATGCAACAAATGACACAGTGACAGGGTGACGTATAGATTCCTCTTTGGTCGTCCAACGGAAGTAATTACATTTATCGCCTACCTATCGATACTCGATTTGTTTGTTTGTTTGTTTGTTTTTGTTTTTTTAGACAGTTTAGTAGTAAAGAATGATAACGATGATAGTGATGATGACAATGCTGAAGCTCCACAGACTTTGAACTCTCAGGTACGTGCTTGAATTGATTGATGAAAACGATGATCTCAAAACATGTATAAGCAATATCGCGCGCCAATATAGTAAAAAAAATTCTGATATGAAACAACTTGGCCAGGCAAGAAACGGAGTAAGTTATGCAGTGGAGTAAGGCATGCCTCTGGTTCTTAGAAATACTGATACTTGGCTTTCGGAAATTTATTACTTATCAGGTACTGAACGCCATTGGCCTCCTTGACATTGAAAGAGAGGGATCCATCCAGGTATTCTGCATATTTCTTTTTTGGAGATATTTTCCTTCAAGAAATTGTCCTACAATAAGTGTCCTAAAACCTTTTGAGGTATTAGCTCACCATGTTATAGTTTTCAAAAGAATCGATAAGCATGCAACTCGAAATATTTGGTACTAATATAAGTTTCGTTGATATAAATTAACACCGTGCTTTAGGAACTGATGACCAATTTTCTTGTGTTGTTCCAACGATTTCGTTGGCTTATTTACTGAATCAATCCTTTTTAGAGCGCTTTGGATGCGTTTGAGGAGACACTCTCCAAATTTTCTAATGGCACGTTTGGGAATCAAACAGAGGAGGAAAAAATGGAGGCGGTTTTTCAAGCTACATACACTTTAGAACAATTCGTGTTGGAGTATGCTCAGTATCACCTTGATAAAACAACACCCAACCTTAGCATTAACAGCCAAGAAATCGGTAAGGGAAAAAAAAAAGAAAAATTATTTATTACCTCTAGTGTCGTAGTGTCGACTTTCACGTCGTGATCGTTTTGTAGAAAAAAACCCTAAAATGTTTCTGTGTCGAAAAAAAAAAAAAAATTAAAAAAATGAAGTAAATTACATTGATAATATTTTTATAACTACAGAATACGATGAACGGCGTGAGCGACCAATCTGGGTACATATATAAAAGGAAAAAGGGCATTTTAGACTGTACCATTTGTGTGATTTTGTTTTTTGTTTCATTTTGTTTTTAATGTGAGTTCATTAAAACTTTCTTATCAAAAGAGACGACTTTGCAGTTTAGGAACATATTTTTTTTCCAGGCAAAGGTAAGACCTGCTTATGCAGGTCATCTTCTACTTTGACGTCAAAGGGCAAAAAGGCCCCAAAGAATCAAACTTTGTCTTCTTATCAGTCTTTGGGTCATTAAGTTTGGCTTTAAGTTGACTGGTGTATTTTTTCTCTTTGTTCGTATTCCTTCCGATTGATTTTAAGTTTGTTTCGTTGTGTGTCTAGATTTGGAAATCAGACGTGTTTACCATCAAAATGAGAGTGATTTTGGTCTCCAGGGGCCTGAAGGACAGAACTTCGTTAAAATTCCATCGGGAAACTTTCAGAACGGTTGGTAAAGGATTCTTCTATCAAATACGTTCTATACTAAGTCCATCCATTAGTGCGTATTCAATGTGACCTGCATTCAACATTTATCATATCTAACAGGAGTTCCTGGAACATCGTCTTTATAACATTCATCTTCCAGCACCTTATATTACCGTTGTTGTTCATTTTCAGGTTCAGAAGTAGTTATGGGAGTTTTATACAAAAGTCTTTCTAAAATGCTTTTGATTGATGATATTTACACCAAAGAGGCGACTAACAAAAGCAGGTTTGTGTGTGTGCGTGTATTTTTTTTCTTCTAGTTTTTCTGTATGTTTTCCCGTCCCTTTGTCTCCCATGCTTCTAGTCCTCCCTATGCTTTAAAAGAGGAAATGAATGATGAATCAACTAAGAAATATTTCCAAAAAAACAACATCAACAACAAAAGCAACAACAAAATAAAACAAAGAGAAAACTGACTAGTTCAATGATCCACCGCAATCTACGATTCATCTTTACATGTATTATTTTCTTTTTTTCTATCGCAAATTCAGATTTTGTGACTAACTTGCTCCATCGACTTCCACCGTAGGCATCTCAACACGATCGTAATATCTGCTACAATCATTCCACCTCCCACGAGGCTGACGCATAATGTTACGTTAATGTTCAGGAATTTTCAGGCAAGTGCAGGAAATAACACATCTTGTTGAAGCTCCTCACATCACCTTAAGAGAGGACCATTGGATCAGTACGAAATTGA